CGCGACGTAATAATGACCGAAACGTGCCCGTCGCGGCAACGCGCGCGCGCGCGTGGGGAGCGCGCGATAAATCCCCATCGAGAAAACCGCGCGGATTCCGGATATGTTAAAGCCCGGCGAAACCGCCGCAAAACGCGTGCGCCGCCGCTGCCGTGCTTTTCGCACGCGAAAGCTGATACAAAATAGGTTGTATCCGTGCGTCCTCTCTCGACGATATATACGTATATAACCCCTCGCTTCCCCCCCCCGCCCCGCGTGTGACGCGCACCCCCTGTCATTCCGGTGCGCGCGTAGCTTGGGTGTATAAGAAGTTAGGAGCGGAAGAAGAGAGGTAAGAGAGAGAGAGAGAGAGAGAAGAGGATGGGACGGGAAGAAAGACCGCTATGATTTATTATCCCCCGCAAATTCTGTTTCTCCTCCGTGCACGCCAACTGCGCTCGCGTTCATCCATCTTTTTCCCTTTCACGGCTCACCGAGCAACCCCTCCCCGCTCCGCTCCTCTCCCCTTCCCTTCCCTCGCCTCGCCTCGCCGTGGCCCCACGTCGCGGATCGTCTCTCCCTTCGCTCTCGCCCTCTTTGTTCCGCGCCATCTCTCAAAGTGACTGACTGCCTCCTTTATTATCCGCTTGTCAGCATTTTTACACTTTTATCCGAAGCTCTCCCGATGTCTATTGTTCCCGCGGCGGGATTCGGTACGATCACAATACGGTCTTGAAGGACTTCAGCGCGCCGGATCATTGTCGCCGGTGTCGTCGGTGTTCTGCAGTCATTTGACGGTGTACCGCCGATTTAGAATGGCTCGCGGGATTCAATGCGCCGAATCAACCGGAAATGGATCGGCGAATAACGAGATTCATATTTGTTCTCAGGTAGCCGATGATATCCCGAATGTCTATGTCAGAAGGAAGGGCGGACCGCGCGGGCTTTGTGACTTGCGGGAACGGTAAGAATGAATAATATATTCCATGTATCCGCGCGTGTAATGTATTTTCTGCAAAATGACAGAGAAAATCATTTGTGTCACGGTACTTGAGCTTTTGTCTTGACGTTTTATTATAAATGGCTGTGTATTCCGGAATCCCAAAAGTCAGTCCTACATAAATTCTGGAGTCGTTCAAGGTTCAAGTTTGACGTATTAGCGGGAAAGGAGCGATTTTTCGCATATTATACGGATATAAAAACTTAAAGTGTCTCATAAAAAAAATACGTCAAAATTACAGTATCCTGTTAAAGTGAAACCGTTGAAGGAAATTCTCATTGGTAAACTCGTGTTTCTTCATTATATTCAAGGCGAAAGAAAATTCTCATAAATAAATCCGTGTTTTTCCATTTCGTTGACAAGGCTAACAATGGAAGTATTTCTCAAGACAACTTCCATTAAACAGTCAATCTTATTTACTGCCGTTTTAAATTACACAAGCGATTTACGAGCAACACTGAATAAAAATGTTTTTGTTGTCTACTTTTTTGTGTCTTTTTTTTTCAAGTGTTACAATATTATATATCACGTCTTTCATCTTTTCAAGTATATCGACGCTCTCACATTTGGTTGACAAAGGACAATGTTTCATTGCCTTGTCAACGGGAGAAATGTCCGTAAAAGTGAAAATAAGTTTATTGCAGTAGATATTTGTCCTAAGTAGGTCTAAAGCTTTTCGTCCACGATCCTAGAAATCGATCCGAGCTCTCGAAAGGAAAGAGAATTGACCGAGAATCTCATTGGTCAAGTGGCCGAATTGTTCAAATGCGATTGCTCAAGTCTCTCTCTGTATTGTCAGCTCGAGATTTGAGATCACGATTCTAGCATTGTGAACACAAGACTTCAGAGACTTAAATAAAGAATGTTTTAATCTCTGGATGCAGATATTTCTAAGGAAAAGGAATTCGTTGTATCGTCTGTTTTTGAAGGAGAAAATCTCATAAATATTGTATATTTTCTCTTTGAAGAGAATATTCTTACCGAGAGAAAGAGAGAAGCCTTGAAGCCTGTCGATCCCATGTAAATGTTTGTAAAGAAAATTAGATCAGCGTATCAGAAAATAGAACATGAATATAATTAAGCGTTAATAATTTGCATCAACTTTGTTATAAAAAATATTTAATATTTACGTCACATGCATTCACACGCGCGCGCGCGCGTGTGTGTGTCATAGTAAAAAAAAATAAAACAGCGTAGTTTAGCCATCAGAAATTCGAATGATATATCCGTTTTCAGATATTGCGAACAACATTCATCATTGCATAACCATTGAGCTACTACATCTACCAAATATTTTAAAGAGAAAAATATCTCATGTTCGCGTAAGGCCAATTAACCTTGCTCTAAAGCAGCAGTAACTATGATATACTGCCGTTACTGATAAAGCGCGGCGCAGCCACATATAACAACGATTCGATCGCGAAAAGAGATCCTGTCAACGTAATTTACAGTGGCACTGTGGAAACGCAGCGCGAAACGTATATTCAGCGCGACCGGCGAATCATTACGGATGTACTTAACGTCGGAGTTTGCCTGTGGCAAACATTGTTTATAATAGGAGCACACGCCATTGATCAGACCGAATCCGTTATCGAGAGAGACGGCCGTCGACTCTAAATCTTCGTTGGGGCAGGGGAGAGGAGAAGGGGGGACCCCAGTCGCGCGGAGATGAAAGAGAACTATATTAGCCGTAAACTCATCCGTCAGTGTCAAAACGTCAAAGAGTCGTCTTCGGGATATTAGCGGCGCCGCAACAGCAGACAGTTCACGCAGAAGCTAGGCTGCCGCGACTGCCTTTGTGTTTTTCCTTTTTTAGAAAACTAAATAAGGCAAAGAGATACGGTATCGACATTGAATGAAACGAAAATCCTCCAAAGTAATTGATATAATTAAAAAAAAAAGAAAATGCAGATAATTTGCTTCTAGATACTTGCAAAACGCAGTATTTAAAATGAAATGTACTTGTACAATATTTGTAAAGTATAATTTGTAATTTGTAAAATATTTTTTAAATACTTTTATTAATATGTTTGTCACTGCTATCGATGCACAGTTTCAAATAGTTTTTCAAACAAATTTTAAATGCGATAAAGAAAAAGACGCTAAATTCAAGACGGAGGAGAGTTATATTTTTACGATTGCAAGAGTAAAAGGTAAAGACGGTTTCACGAGAATCGACGTTTAGTGCAATTGTAGCGAAAATTATTCCTCCGAAAGTAAACACATTGCAAGCCATGGTCGCCGATTTCTATTCGCAGCTCATATTGTAATGGTTAATGATATCGAGAATGGTTATAATGACTTCTAGTGTTAAATTACGGGCCGACATACCTATATGCATTTCTCAGATACTGTTCGGCTGCATTCCTGGGGCTCGAAGTGCTCCCCGGGGTAATTATTGTTTACCGCGGGTATGCGGTCTACGTAGCGGGGTGTGTGGATATCGTCATAATTCGTCGTAATTACCTTGTAACATAGTTACTTCATCGATCGCTTTATCTTGCTTAAGCTGTACTTAGCGGAATGGCCGTAATCGCCTAACCGCGGAGCGTTTGAGTTCCAAACGAGGTCCGATAGTCAAGCTCTTTAATAGCCGTATCGCTCGTCAAGCGGACGCGTATGATGCGTACCTGGCGAGCGCGTAAAATGCGTTACGCGCGTGAGCGCGCCGTTGGATTTCGCCGAATATATGTATTTTGCGCGTTTCGTTCTGCGCGAGGTAAACCCGACAATAATATCGCGACGGAGTTCGTTGAAACGCGTAGCAAAAAGGATCTCGTTCATCTCTGATCGTGATTTCGCTTTAAATGATATGCATCGAACAGATACATACGTACGTGTTGAAAGTAGATGCAGAATCACTGTATTTGTATTATCCGGTGATTGGCCAGTCCAAGGTTCACGAAGAAATTCTTGTATCGCATGTGTGTCACGTGCAAAATATATATTTAGAACGCTGCCTTCGATGAGAGATCGGTAAACTCGCCATATCGGCAGCGATTGTTCGATATCGACGAATCCGAGGAGCACCGGCGACGCGACAATAAAGAGAGCGGCACGCAAACGCCAGGGAGATCGGTAGCCACGAGGCGTTAAGTACCGGATGACTCAGTGCGCACCGCGGTCGGGGCCGGGGCGATAATTAAAACGCTTTTACAAAACTGTAGGCAAACAGCGCTTAAGTGGCTGTCATTCGTTACCCCGTGGGGCCGCGGCAAGTCGGTAAGTCGCTGAGCGAGCAATCAATCACCCGACCCGTACTCCCCTACCCCCGGCGGCCCATTACATTTCTATTTTGAAAGCTGCTTATTAAGCGGGGCCGGCTGGAGAGACAGACAGGTTTCACGGTATAAAATATCGGGTTGCCGTGGTGGCAGGAACGACGGTTCCGTGTCGTGGCAGCTATGGTAGCTCGGGCGCGGGAGGGTGGGCGGAGGGGAAGCGACCATGGCATGGTAGAGAGAGAGAGAGAGAGAGAGAAAGAGGGACAGAGGGACGGAGAAGGGACTGGTGGTGGGGAAGGGAGGGGAAAGGCGAGGGGGAAGGGGACGCGAGCCCTCGTCGGTCGGACGTGCGGGGGGAGGGGAATGGACGGCTGTAAAAGCGGTGAAATATCAAAGCCGGGATGGGAGCTGTCATCGTCGGGCCAACATCATGGGTGGCGTGTTGAATTAGAATGCCTTCCCACACCCCACGCAGCACCGCAATTCTCCCACCATAATGCCATCTCGCCCCCACCAACGTGGCGTCCGCGAGGGTGGTGGGGATGACAGGAGAGGACAGGTTATACACCCCGGGTCGTCAAGGATAGGGGAGCCAGGAGGGTACGGGGGGGTGCGAGGGGGTTGAGAGATTCTCGCCGTAGACGCCAGACGGCGCGAAGGTGGCACTTGGCTCGGAGCAGTCGGGAGCACGGAGTGAGCCGCTTGCGCGAGAGCCGTCATTATTTTCCTGGTTTCCGTGGTGTACGCGTCGACCATTGTGCCCAGGATACGTGGCCGCGCAAGGTGATCGATTCCCGACGGAGGCGCAGTCACGACGCCGTGCCTTCGCGAATCCCTCTTGTTTGGTCCACCTTCGTCGTCGCGTCGGGGGCTCGACGCGATTCAGTTCCGGCACGCGCATACGCGGTGTCTGTGTGGAATATCCATTTTGTTGATTTATAAAGTGCAGTGCGATCAATCAGTGGGATAACCAAATGGTTGTGCTCGAGGAAGGCAGTATGCTGACTACTGGACACAATCAGTATCTACAACCGGATTACCTTTCGCCAGTTGCAACTTCGGTTAGTATCTCCTTTAGTATCATTCCCTCTTCAAATTTTCGTACCATTTCTATCGTGTTGATTTTGAGCAAAAAGTAAGGGAGGGGAAAGAGATTTACATGCTGAAAATTAGAATAAATGCGGGGAAAAATCAAAATTTCGAAGTCGCGGTATTTTTTTCCATTATTTTCACGATTTTCTAATAGATTCGCCCGATTGCGAAGTCGTCCATTTGTGTCCGACGGAATCAGAGACAAACGATAATTATTGTATATATTGTTACTTTTAATCAATGTACGCTTTATTTTCTGCTTTATTTTCACTAATACGAAAATCATGGATGTATTTTTCTACAATTTTGTCTGTAATTCTATTTCTTTTTTTCCGATTAGGTGCAATTGGATGCGAAAAAGAGTCCGTTGGCATTGTTGGCACAGACATGTAGCCAAATCGGAGCGGATTCGCCGACGAAACCGCTGATTTCGCCTTTGGAGAAGAGCTCGAAGGGCATGAGCATCGCCACAAACGCGAAATCGCCGCCGGCCGCGAAACTGGAGCGCAATACCCGCGGCAGTCCGACGGACGGCAAGCCGCTGGCGTTCAAGCCGTACGAGACCAACGTCGTGACGAAGAAGACGACCTCGGACGAGGGTAGACCCACGTCGAAAGCCAGTGTGCACAGTGTCAGTGGTCAGGATTGTATCAGTGTGAGTGACAGCACGTATCCCGACAAAAAGTCGTCCGGCAATCGTACGCCGGTGAGCCGAAAGTCCGCGTCGCCGAGCAGCCAAGCGACGGCAACGACGACCAGCGGCACGCCGTCGGTCGACCGGAAGACCCCGGCGGACCGCGAGAAGACCGACGGTTCACCGCGGAGCAACAGCAACAACGGCAGCAGTAATAACAACAACAACGGCGCGAGTCCGATTATCCGATCCGGAATGGAGATTCTCTCCGGCGCGCACACGAAGGATGCGAATCTGGCCGCTTACAAGGCGGGTCTTCCAGGATTCTCCAGCAATCCGCTGTGCTGCCCGCCGGGCCTCGCCGAGAATCCGGCCTTCAGGCCGCCGTTCGCGGGCGCGTCACCCTTCTCGCATCATGCGGCGGCGCTGCTCTCCGTCGGCTACCCGTCGGCGGGCCCGACCAGCGGCAATCCGTACTTGAGTTACGCCCGCGTCAAGACACCCGCCGGCGGCGAGGCCCTGGTGCCCGTGTGCAAGGATCCCTTTTGCACTGGTTGCCAGTACAGCATGCACAGCGCGCAGATCATGATGGGCGCGGGCAGCTGTCCGAGCGGTTGCACGCAGTGCGACCATCAGAAGTACGGGCTGGCGATGGCCTTGTCGTCCCTGGGCCCGATGCCGCCACCGTCGTTGTCCTATCCGTCCACGCTGGCAGGTGGCCGGCCCTACGTCTGCAACTGGATCGCCGGCGAGTCGTATTGCGGCAAGCGATTCTCCACGTCGGAGGAGCTGCTCCAGCATCTGCGTAGCCACACGAGCCTGACCGGCGGCGATCACGCGGCGGCCTCCGCGGCGGCGCTCCTCGGCAATCCGCATCCGCATCCGCTGCTGTCGCCGTCGACCACCCTGCACCGCGCCAGCGGCGGCACCTACCCGGCGCCGTCGCTGAGCCCGCTCGGCACGCGGTATCATCCGTACGGCAAGCCGCCGACGGGTCCGCTGCCAGCCTCGCTCGCGGCCTCGCCGTACAGCGCTTTCAACGCCTTAGGACCGTATTATTCGCCGTACGCCGTTTACGGACAGCGAATCGGCGCCGCCGTACATCCCTAAGATGGATATATATATTTCGGAAGGGGGAAGGGGGAGGGAAGAAGAGGGTGGTACGACCGATAGGATCTTTCAAAGGGATTTTCTTCTCGTTCCTCCCTCTCTCTTTGTATCTTTCCCTTTTCTCAGTGTACAGTTGGAAAAAAAAATGTGCAAAATGATGATAACCTGACGAATGATGATATCTGCCGTCTCAGACTGATGTGTAAATAGCCAATGTGTACAATACAGATTTATTTAAAAGAATTCTATATATGTATATATAAATATAAATATATGTGTACATTGAGGATTATGATTAAAGTTTATGAAACAACTTGGCAGTGTTGACGTTGCATCGCGAGATCCATTCTCTTGCGCGGAACTTCTATGATACCGGTAATACACGCATCTCTATTAAAAATCCGGTTACCATGTAGGGGGAAAGGATTACCTGGCCAGCTGTAAGTTGATGTTGTTGCAACTGCCGGACGCGTTACGCCGACTGAGGACACGTTAAAAAAAAATTCGCCTCTACTCTATTCAAAGAACTCACGAGGCACTTTCCGACTGCGCTTCCGCGAATCGCGTGCTGTTTCGAGTTTTTTTTTCGGCGATCATCCCGACAACACCTCGTTGTACACGTCATCCTCGTATTCGTAGGCGACGTTAATCGATCATTTATTCGGCGACATATGATTGCAAAAGTGCGTACTACTGTATTGTTTTCCCGACGCTCCGCGAACGCGAGCTTCTCGTGCAAAAATACGTTCGATAGCGCGCGCAGCACCGTACGGACAATCGGTCGCGCGTAATCTTATGTCCACGATATAACTGTGATATTACGCTACTCTCTTGAGAAAACAAACACGTAGGGAAGGGATATTATTAACGAAAATGTGTCTAAAGATATCTCCTAACACACAACATTGTAATTTATTATCGTTAATTGTGTAAGGCAAATACCGAATGCCGAAAGAACGAAAATAAAATTGATCTAGAGAGAATCTGTTTTATCATTTTCTTTTCGAAATTCAGTAATTTCGCACTGAGAGATGATTGTTTTCATAATAGTATATCCGGGAGCGTATTGAATCGTGTATCGTTGAAACATCACGTCGACTCACGTTGTCGAATGAGAATATTCTAATAAACGAAAAAATAACATGGTGTACGGTACGTCTTATTCATTGTAAATTTCTCTTGTAAATATCGTTGAGTTTCCATACCGTTTTAATAAAAAAGCAATGTTTGTAGAATTATTTCTACCGTAGAATCTTTTCTACCGTATATTATGCGTTTTTTTTTTAGCATATTGTTGTTTCGTTCAATCCAGTCCCTTCCTCTTTCACGCTCGACGTTTTGCAATTTACCGTCTTGTGTAAACTTCGCGCGCAACTCTTCATATAGAGCCGACATTCGAGATTATCAAAATGCGCAATTTCTCGGATATTTCAATTTTAGTCCTCTCTCGTCTGTGCAGTACTCCGAAAAAATATACGCTACTAAATATACGTTAACTGTAAAGATATCAATTATTATGACATTTAGTTTGATTCCTGCGCTCATATCTCGCGTTTCTCTCTCTCTCTCTCTTTCTTTTTTCCTTTTTGCTATTACAAGATATAAAAATCAGTCTGCCCGGTTTCGCTGACCTGTTACGATCTCCGCTCGTCAGTCATGCCTGACGGACAATTTATCAAACGCACTTCACAATCTGTCATTCACTGGCAACGAGGCGTAGTTTCTTACATGTCCGAGCCCATTATTCGTCCACGTTGAAGCCTCGCGGAGAAATTCAAGATACCTTTTACATACTTCATCCGTACATCACACAGCGCAATTTCTATTATATAAACTATTAAGATAATCATTCCCGACGAATCGGCTCCGTGTTTATCCGTCTCGAAACTTTGCTCTCCTCTACCGCAGATAATCTTTACAAAATTCTGATTACGCTCTTTCGTTTATTACTCACCTCTTTCTTATCGCTAAACTAAACAGTTCCGTAGCATTTTACTCAGACACGAAATGATACCGTTATCAATCATTCCATCATGTTGTTAATCATTGTCAATAGTCGTACTGATTATGAGTAATCTACTTATCACTGTATATCTTAACTATGCATCTTAAGAAGTTTAACATCTCTCATATACACGTGCGCGTGCGCATACACACACACACACACACACACACAGACGTATATTTGTAGGTACGTTCATTTCCTTCCTTTGTACAAAATAATGGATAGCTCAATTATTAAGTTTGCCTTGGAGTGAATAGCAAAATTAATCTACTGCGTCCTTAATTTGACGTGGCTAATCTGTCTACAGAACAAGTTGAAAAGATGTGAGGGACAAGTGAAAAATTCAACGCTTGTAATAAATCACGGCCCTTTTTTCGGAGATACTTACCCAGACATCATTTCCTTTGTTCCGAATTCTTTCTCTTCTCCTTTGCCCCACCTGCACCGACGCACCTATACCTCTCTTGTCTGTTGTATTTTTATTTGTTATTACGGGCACGTTGCGAGGTAAAATATATACCACCTTCTTTGAGTTACTAAACTCCGGTGAGTCAAAGCCAGCCAGAGGATCTAGTGACAAAATCCTTAAATTGGCGATCCTACTCCCCGCTAACACCGTCAGAATGCGGAGAGCCGCGTCCGTGTGCGCACACGAACGGACGAGTCCCAATCCCCGGGGCACCCCCAGAAGAGTAAATTTATTTCTTTCATTACGGACGGAGCGGGTCGTGAGCTCTCGGATATCAGCGCTGCAAGGCGGGGCGCATAAATCTGCAGCCTAGCGTAGGGAAGAGGGCGAGCGGGGGAGGGAAGAGACAGAGCGAGAGGGATGTGGGTGGCAAACCGTAGGTTTCTAGAGCCGGTGGCTCTCTTTCTCTCTCTTTCTCTCTCGCCCTCTCTCCTCTCTCGTGTCGTAGGGGTGTGGGAGTGCGAGTCGTGGAGAGAAGGTCCGCTTCATCCCTCCATCGTTTCCATCGTGCCGGGGTGCCGCGACAGGCGGTGGCAGGCTCAGCTGGCTCAGCAAAGTGAAATATTCGGTGATTTTAACCGTCGGGATGAATGGTCCCGCCCGTATTTCGCCTTTCACGGCGCCCTACGCCGATTGGAATCCGTGTTATTTCGGGACGATTATGCGTGTCGCTGAATCTCAATTAGTAACTTGTCGGAGATGTAACCAAAAATCTTTATGCGCCCGTCCATAGTGTGCTCGCCGTTAATTCGTCGCCGGATAAGAAATCGACGTTTCTTCATTTTTTTTTCGCTTCGTGCAACAGTGCCAAGGACATATTTATCGATACGGCTCTCCGGTCCCTCTCCCACGTACTGATGAATTACAGACGATTCTTACAATTAGGTCTAAATGAGCAAGTGCTATAGATAGATTATCTTGAAATGCCTTTTAATTACGTACAGCCATACGTACAGCTAATTAACATTTTTATTTCATTGTACAATGATAATGTCATGCTTCGTGAAGTTCAAAGCATTTGTGAAAACCATGTAAAATACGGTCGTATGATAGGTAATCCGTGAATTAACAAATAATTGAAAAGTAAATTATCACTTTCAGTGTAGTCTGATATTTATTTTATTGAAATGAAGTTTTTACAATTTTTAATAATTTATTGGCAATAAAAATGTAAATATGATTATTCAAAGGCAGTTGAAATATTATCGTACAAAATTTTAAAAAGATCGAACGATAATGCTTATGAGATCATATATAATAAATTTGTTTTTTGTTTTTAATTTATTACTGATTTAGAAAGTCTCACCTCCAAGAATGCTCGAGTTTTATAAATAAGCATTCGAATCAATTGTAATAAATCTACTTCTTGCAAGGACATCGTCGTGTGTCTGTCTTTATTTTCACGTCACCGCCTAACAAGTCCAACGGGTTATTCCGTCGAGTAAAAAAAATGTATGTTATAGCGAAAATGGTTTGCCGTTGTGAAAGTTAAAATAACGATCGTGAATAAAGACGAGGAATGACGTATCGCTTGCAATTAACGAATCTTTAATGTTTACGTCGTGTCCCATAATTCATTCGCGTCTATAAACCAGCAGAGTATATCAGTTCCAAGATTTGTGCTGACGCAATTAGAGGGAAATAATGTCGCGCGGGTTGCGAATAAAACTTTCCGAGCGTCTACATATTTCATATTAATCGCTACACATTTCATTATAATTCTAACATTATTCATTTGCGTTATTTCATTTCTCCGTACGAGCGCGTCGTTTTTACACCGTCCGCGTTCGCGAGCGAACCGTTTCGCTGTTCTTATTCAAGAAACGCGTCTTGTATATCGCGTATAAACGTCCAAGTTGCAGAAACGAAAGAAGGAAAAAAGGAAGCGAGAGAGAGAGAGAGAGAGAGAGAGAGAGAGAGAGATTATATTTTACGTTTGGATTAACTGAACGAGTCGCGAGCGCGTTTCGCCTCATATTAATTAAAACCTTCAAAGCCAAACGCGCCGCGTTGACGTTAACGTGATTTCACGCGAACCCGCGAGATTACATTACGAATAAACATGTCAATCAGCCGCTCAGACATTTTGTGGAAAATCAACGGCTGGCGCGTTTGGCAGTGCGCTCCGGCGCGTCTTTTCTGCGACGGACATGTGTCACGATCAGAACGGTCGGAGTTACGGCTCCGTATGGCGCGTCTTGGCTGTCTCCTTAGAAGAGCCGCTATCGAGTCGAGGAGGAAAATTAGGGCATTCAGAGAGGATATTAGCCGATGTTAATAGAGTCCAATTTCGGCGCCTCTCCCGCGGTTCTACGGTCGCCAAAAATACACGGCTCTCGCGAGTGTCTTCGATTTCTTTCGCTAAGTTTCTAAAAAAAGGTTTATTAATATCAGCGTTTTTTTGTTGTAACGTTTTTCCAATATCCTTATTTAATCTTTTTCGCTAATGAAAATAAAAGAGATATATGATAGAAGAAATACTGGTTTGCCAATAGACGCGACGGGTAGACGACGCTCAGTCGCTATTTCCGGAGTTAGTACATTTTTGTTTTTCTTAGTTAGCGGTCACTCGTATTGTCGCATCGTAAATCACGGTGCATTATTTTTATTACGGCGAAATAAAAATACTCTCATCGCTAACTATTTTTTATACCTTGTCATTGACGTCGCTCGTGTACGAATATAATTTATATATTTACGTATATGTATATACAATGTATACATACATATACATATATATATAAATACATATATAAATACATGTAAGTATGCAAGTATGTTCTTACGTGTCTCAGCTTTTTCTACATTTCGTATTTATTAACAGAATGAAAACGGTGAATTTTTATTAGGGGCGACAGTAAAAAGTGACAGTAATGAAATAAGAACCAACAGGCGAAATTGACTTTTGAAAGTATCTTTTTAGAGATCGGATACTGAATTTTCTATAGCCTGCTTAACGGATCTTTTGATTAGTTATAAGTGTCAGGCTTGTTGACGATGTTTCACATCGAAGTATCTCTCAGCCGTTCGTTATAACATTGTGCGGTAAAATGTCAGATTGTCGATAGCATACCGTAAATAAAAGCAGCAGACGACTCGCCACGTATTATTTACGATTTCCGTAGTTCCAGCTTTTTTTTCCTTCGCCGCCGGGAGTGTCGGAACTTCCAATTAAGCCATCTCTTGCTTTCATCGAAAACGCTCGCCGTCTATTAAGCGAGAAGGCAGAGCTCCACCTTTCTTTATTATCGCAATCTGACAATATATATACAATATATATATATATATATATATATATATAAAACTAACGGTAACTACGTTTTACATCACGCGCCGACTCTCGATGAATACACATTTCAGCGAATACACAGCGGCGCATCTGATTATTTCAGAAAATCTCGCCCGTCCGTTGTTGTTTATTTTCGGAGTCGGCATATTCTTTTCCGTTTACATCATCGGGCCGCGTGTGTGTACGAGTAGAGGGTTTACCACGATATGATATTTATTTGCCGCCTCGCTAAAGCCCCGGCAATCTTGGCAAACGACGCGTGTTGGTCGGGGTCGACATCGGTTGCTACCTGCGCGCGAGAAGCGGAGGTTTCTTTGTCAGCGCGTGGAAACCCGGCTGGCGCGATTAGTGCGTCCCTGAGCGACGTCTATCAGGCGTGTTCTGGCCAGTCTTACGAGTCAGCGCGGACAATTTAGCACATCAATAACAGGCCGCAGATAAAAGCAGCCCATACATCGTGGTTGACGTATCGTTT